ATTAAATTCTTTTCTAACTCATGCATCATTAATTACACACTATACTAATAATTTAACAGTCTTTTCATCGACTGATAGGTAGAATTTAAAAGTCTGTCAGTCTCCTCCAGATTTACTAACTCAAACACTGCCAAATAAAAACTGATAATATTAAATTCCAATTAGAAGTTTATGATCAGACAAGTTTCTTTGGATATGAAGATATCATTTCAAATACCAGCCTAGATGTATTTATAAATTTAATTAAACACAACACCATGAGAGAAACAAATTAAATGAAGAAGAAACCAAAAGAGAGATGAAAAAAGACCAGTAACAAATTTCATAGAATCACAGAATCAATTAGATTGGAAAAAGACGTTTAAGGCCATGAGTCCAACTCTTCACATAACACAAGTCCACCACTAAACCACTTACCCTGTAACAAAGCAACAAAGCTAACATTTGTTAGCATTCCTCTTGTATACCACTGAAAATCCTTTGAACACTCTCATTTGTTCTGTTGCTTTTGTTTGCCTGAATTGCTGGGTAGCTCCTAATTGTAAATGGTCTTTAATGAATTTTCTCTGTTACATTCAGTTCTTTTAAACAAAGAGTAAAATAATGAAGAGGGCACAGTATGGGCTGAATGGGCTCATCAGAATTAAACGCTCAGAAAATGAGAGAGTAAAGCTGAATATTAGGCAACTGTTTTCATGTTCAAGCTTCAGACAAAGCTACAATGACCAACCAATCTTCTGGGTCATATCTTCACATAGGGCAGGGAGCCCAGAACAAGAGGAACTATTTATTGGGAAGTACAGACAATCACAACACAGGGCGAAGCACCCTTAACATACGGCCCTCTGAGGGCTGCAGTGACTCTGGATTACATGATTATTCACACACTTATGTACAATAGTTCTCGACTTGCTTAAAGCATAGGTTTACCACTTAGAATCACAGAACGGCTTAAGTTGGAAGAATACAGGAGTACTGATTCCTCTAAATCAGTGGCGAGTGGCAGGATGTACACAGACGAGATCTAAGGCAGGAACTCCCAAAGCTCCTCTGATTCTCTGGGAAGCCCACAGGGGTTATGGCATAGTCCCATTAAGACCACAGGATTTCCAAGAGCTGCAGCAAGTGGTGCTCCTTTGGAAAATCAACAAATATCTACAGATGAAGGAAGAGACATAAAACCTTACACTGAGCTGCATTCCATGTGCCCTCTGTTGTTTGCTCCCTCTCTGGTACGATTTTTCTTCCTGTTCTTTAGGATTTCAGCATTTTACACTTCTACAGGCTTTTAAAATCTTGCCCAAAATCCCTTACCATCCACTAGATGTCATGGTAGCCTTACTAGTACTACTGAATACACGAATGACCAAAGAGAATTAGGGAGAAGTTACTTGAAATTCACCTCCTCTCTGTTTCTGACAGACAAGCCTTTATACAGTGTGTTCAGGACAATATCAAGTGACAGGAAGAAAAGTAAAATGATTCTGTGCTGAAAGCTAATCTCCTTTCTTTCAGGAAATTGAGACAGGGGATGTGCAGGTTATTTCTTGTAGAAATTTCCAGCATCCATTCAACAGCAAATCTTCTAAAGGAAGGATTACTCAAGGCTGTGGAACAGGCCAATAATCCCTGTGCTGGGGAGAGAAAGTAGTGTTTCCTGATTCTCCTGATGTGGATGCACAGCAACTCTGTGATAATTTTTTTGCCATACAGGCAAATAAAGACAGAGCAGTAATGGCCCTCTGGTAGAAGCCTGATCAACAGTCCTTTACAGATGTGCACAGAAGCTCTGTGGCTTTTCTAGACCACCACCTCATGAACAGGAGTATATTCAGTGGCCAGGGTTTTAAGACTGAGTTTGAAATTTTCTGAAAACTATGATTTGAATAATGTCTACATCAGGAGAAAATATCTACATTTTGGTATGAATGAACACTTGTCATATTTACTTTGACAGTTTAAAAAAAGAACACACCATCATAAAAACAAACTGAATAGGAAACTTCTACATTTTTTTCCAAAAAAGGAAAGAATCTTTGCATCAGTAAAAATAAAAAATGGCTACAGAATCACAGAATTGTTGAGGCTGGAAAAGACCTCTGAGATCATCAAGTCCAGCCTATGACTCAACAGCATCGCAACGGCTAGACCAGGGCACTAAGTGCCACATCCAGCCTTTTCTTAAACACCTCCAGGGATGGTGACTCCAAAGTATGTAGTATAGTTTTGCCCATTCTCACTGTACTACTTCTAATATTTCCATTAACAGAGAAGTGTGCAAAAAGTTCACAAAGACAAAAGAAAGAAGAATGTGACACTAATGCTTGGTCAAACAAAAATGGAGAAAGATGCTGACAAAAACACCTATTTTAGTGGAACACTGAAAAGTAGGGAAGATGGAAGAACCAATATTTGATCAACTATAGAAAAGCCTATCCACAATCAGAATACCTGATTCAGAAAAAAGAAACAGATAAGAACCACACAGGTCTTAACCTGTAAATTTCGGTGCCCAGAATTGAAAGTTGAAAAACATGAAGAGGCAGAAAAGAGAACATGCTCATGCTTTAAAAAAAGAAAATTCCTGCTATTTCATCCATGGCTGAAGCCCCTTCTCAGCAGTAAAATGTTTTTAAGAAAAGCGTTAAAAGCCTTTACACAGCTAAGAGAAATGGAAAAGAGCTAGCACATCTGAATTCACTACATATTTAATGAAGAAACTCTCACATGGATTGATGTAGAAGTACTTAGTACAATTTACAGGGGAAAAAAAGAAAAATGCTTTCTTTTTATGTCTTCTAGAACCATTTCTCATACCACAGATAAGAACTACACATTTGGTCCCTGGACACCGATTTTGTTAACCTACCAGCCATATTTAACCGTAGATGGTAAGAGATGCTTTGCAACTGGCAAGAATATGTTTAAGCACTTTAATCAGCTGAATAGCATTTTCTCTCAAGAGAATTATTCTACTCATACCAACACTATCCTGGTAGAAAGACAACAATCCTACAGGCATTCTACGAGAGACCGCTGAGCATTACTGCTATAAAAGCAAAACTATTACCTTGGTAGATAACATCAGTCAAAGGTGCTTAGGGACATGGTTTAGTGGTAGACTTGCCATTGCTAGGTTAAGGGTTGGACTTAGTGATCTTAAAGGTGTTTTCCAACCTAAACGATTCTAAGATTCTAAATGCGCAACAACTAGAAGGCAGAAATTTGCAGATTAGTACAACATAACTTTAATAAAACCAAACCAGCTTAGTACACTTTATGGATATAACTTTTGTGATTGAACATTTATTTTACTCTATTTTTTAAAAAAATGTTGCCATTTATAGCTGTGTTTGTTCATTTTTTTTCTGGCTCCAGTCAGCAGCATTCCAAGATGAGCAGACTCTATATTGTATTTTTCTACAGTTTAAGTAACTGTACTGTGTCACTTCATTAATTTAAAACTGTTTATTAAACGTGTTGCTTACATAACCATTCCTGTACTTCAGGTTAGGTGCTACACTTCTTTGCAGCTTGATTTTCAATCAAATCCAAGATGCATCAATACGTATTAGAACCATGTACCCAATGAGCATTTAATTTCTGATTTCAAACTTTCTAAATAGCATTTATATAAGTAAATAGTAAAGCTCTAGGCACTTTCTAAACATAAAGAGCACATGTAGACCACTTTTTCTATCAAGTTAGGAGTTTACAAATGATTTAGCAGAAACCTTGCTCTTGTATTATTTTGACGTATCATTGTATAGTACTGCTGGTATAGTCAGGTGCAAAAATCATAATTGCAGAAAGAGGAGTTGGGTTTCCACTCTCTTCCTAATTTTTGCACATACTTCATGCCTTTCAAATGGGTTTTAAATATATCTTCCCACTAATGAAGGCTAGGGCCGGGTATAACAAATTCACAATTTTACAGCCCTACTGCAGTATCTCAGGCTTTTCTAGTTCAGTGTAGTTGAAAGATGACACGTATGAACAGATATCCTTTTGATGGACTGAAATCTGAATTCTTCCCAAAGCTGTAAACATTTTTTAATACGTTTATCTCTATATATATAACAGCAGAAGAATCTAATCTTTTTCAGAGTCTCCAGTCTGTTTAAACTAGACTGTGAATTCTCTGCAGTAAAGAGTCTTAGTGCACATTTACAGATCACCAAGCACAGCTTGGCTTCTTGCAGTAGTTCCCATAGCATCGAAATGGGCCCAACGCAGTTTCCACTCAAATGCATCATTCTACTTTAACACAACCAAAGTGTATAGTAATCTCTGCATTAAGAAATACACACCAAAAATCTTTCACCCTCTTCCATAATGAAAATACTACCTTTGATTTTCTTCTATGATTGAATGACTAGACCTGTGGGCGAGTAGTGGATGTTTGCGACCTCAACTTCAGCAAGGTTTTCAATATTCTTGTACCTGATAGTATCACAAGTGAGATGTGTGGGATACCAGATGGATTAGAACTGGCTGGATCAGGATGAAAGGGCAGCTGTTAATGGTTCAATCTATCCAAAAGCTTGCTACAAGTAAATTTCCTAAGGTGTCTGTTCCAGGACCTGGTTTAGTATCTTTATTAATGATCTGGAGGAGAAGGCAGAGAGTACCCTCAAGGAATTTGTGGATGACACCAAACTGGGAGGAGTAGAACATGGAGTGCGGCACAGTGGAGGGGACACAATACATTGAAAGGTAGGGCTGCCATCCAGAGGGACCCATGCAGGTTATAGGTATGGGCTGATAGGAACTTCACAAAATTCAGCAAAGACAAATGCAAAATCCTTCACATGGGACGGACTAAACCCCTGCATTGGGTTTCATACTGGGTTATAGATCTGCTTTGCATAACCTAGTTATCAGTAGGCTAAATATGCGCCAGCAGTGTGGCCTGGCAGCAGCACGCTGGGCTGTAGCAACAACCAGCAGTTTCGAGGGAAGGGACTGGTCCCGTTGACTTGGCACTTGCTGCATGTTACCTGGATGGTACATTCTGTCTCCTCCTTCAGTTCATTTATCTTTGTGTCATTTATCTGGTTGCCCCACTACAAGACAAATGTTGATAAACTTGAACATGTTCAATGGAGAGCTACCACCAAGATGGCTGGGACTGTCACATAGATCCTTCTGAGGGATGTAGGTTTAATCAGTCTAAAGAAGGGAAGGCTTTGTGGGACTTAATAGCTTTCCAGGATCTATGAGGTGGCTGGAGAGAAAGCGGATCCACTTGTTACAGTGCTATGCAATAGGACAAGGAGAGATAATGACTATAAACTGAAGCAGAGGAGGCTCAGTTTAAATATAAAAACCCCCCTCACTATGAGGATAATTATGGATAACTAAGCACTAGAAGAGATTATTCAGAGAGCCTGTGGAATCTTCATCCTTGGAAGTTATTCAAGAGCTGACTGGACAGAGCCCAAAGCAACCTGGTTCAGATTCAGTGTTGACTGATTTGAGCAGGAGGTTGCACTAGATGACCTCCTGAGGTCTCTTCTAAGCTAAGTAAGTCTGATGCTATGATTCAGGTCAGTGCAACTCTCAGAAGCTACCCTTTGCGTACTGCAGTTGGGAAGAACTTACTACAAACCCACTTCTCTAAGAGTTAAGGTACCATATTGTATGCTACAGCTTGGAATTCTTTCTCCTCCAGGTGTAATGGAGAAAATGTAGATTTTCACAGGGGGAAAGCTTAATTTCCTACCATGAAAATTAACTTTCTATCTCTGTGAAATACTTATCCAGCTCAAACACTGGTATAGAAAAGCAGCAGCTGGATTTAAAAAAAGAAAAAAAGTGAAGACTCCCAGGATTTAGTTTCTTATTAGTCCTCCAAACACACAGGCTTTTACAAAATGGTGCAGCTATTTTTACAGTGCCACAGGAATGAAGAACAAAACCCAACCATTTTGCATATGTAGACCATTTCCTATGTCTGTAAATTCTCTAGTAAAAGTATCCTTATTACCGTTAGGTTTCCAATTCCAAAATTTCTTCCATACGCAGAAAAAAAAATTGTTCATTTGCGACACACTAATTTTCCATTCTGAAAATGTAAGTTAGCTTTATTATGTTATTTTTAAAAGGTAGAGATAAGTGTTTTAAAGGTATGTTAAAAGTACAGGAAGTTTAACATATCCTTTCATATTGCACTTTCCTAGAGAAAATGCTATTTATAGGTAGAAGTAAAGAGAGTAAATGAAGCTTGGGTAAAGGCAGTACGTGAAGCTTAAATGAGTCCAAGCCTTATTATATTCATGTTGTAAAAAGTAACACATCAAGCACTTTTAAATCCGCCAGTTTTTATGAGCCTATGCCACAAGATTTTACAAGCTTAAACTCCCTTGTCAGCAAAATGTGTTCCTGTAAGAAGCTGTATAATCAAGTAGATGTTCAGTTATTAGACTTCTCAAATTAGATAACAAATTAAAAGCTATCACAATAGCACCCTGAAATCACAGTTAGTTAATGAGTTCCAAAATCTGTTTCTCTTCCTTTAAAATGTATTTGTTCATTATCAGCTATTCTTTCAAGCTGTAGTCTATAAAACCAGTTCTACAGCATTTATGGTTTGGAAAAAGTACAAACTAAGTGTTTTCTGTGAATTACCTAACATAACAGAGTTTCTAAATGCAAGATGCTATTAAAAACGTCAGCATTTCTAAGAAAAGATAAATCTCAAAATAATGTTCAAAATCACCTAGGAGAAGACACTAACCCATCAAAAAATTGAGGGACATTTTGACTTTTCAGTGCCTTGTACAGTGTTATTATCGTAAAGAAAAGGGATATCAAGTCCAAACAATTAGCATTGGTAAATATTTACAATAGGATAGGTGAGCAGACAAAGAATCAAAAAATCTTACTGTGAAGTGGTGAAACTTTCAACACTCTCCCACTTCCCCCCAGAAGCTTCACATTTAGTGAAGAATGACATTCATATAATTTTAAGGCACCTGCATATATTACTTTAAAAGTTTCGTAACCATTAGGGTTTCAAAAGCATTATGCTAAGAAATTTCATTGCTAAGACGTCACAACCAATTTCATGTAGTTAGTTGGTAATAAACCAGCAGCAACTAAAACTGTCATGGGCTTCCCAATTTTCAAAGAAACTATAGTTACCTGGTCTAAAAGATCTTCAACTTTTTTTTGCCACCCATCCCTTGCTGCATTTTTTTCACGTTCTTTCAACTGCAACAGCTGAGTCATAGCTGCCTTCTTATCCTCTTCATGCTGCAGCCTCAGTTCCTCACGAAGCTTATTACATTCCTGTCTAAAAGCAAAGGTCAAATAACTAAAATGCAGTTGACCTCATGCAAAAACTGAAAAAGAATTAAGAATTCAGTAATATTTGGAAAAGTAGCTAGTAACAGAAAACTTTGCTTTACATTTCATATGCTAAATCCATTTGCATGTAACACATACCTAATTTGTTACTAAAGAATAAAAGAAAAAAAAATTGATACTTGCCGAAGATTTTCTGTCCATTTTATTTCCAAGTCACGAGCCATCCTGTCAACTTTGAACTTTTCCTCTTCTCTCATGGCAGCAATCATTGCCTCGTGCTGTTGCCTCTCCTGATCTAATTCTCCCTGCAAACAGAAACTTCACAATAGAGACTGATCAGCAGCAAAAAAAGTATTTCAAACCTTAAATGGGTCTATTATAATAAAAGCATCAGTTACGATTGGCTCCAAAACTTGAACTACAACTTTTTTAGTGTATAATTCCTAATTACACACACATCTGCTGATATTTCTTACTTGTGGAACAGAATTCTGCGTTCATATAAGAAGCTATCAAAAGCAATTTTTCAGTAAGTCATTCCAGAAGTAGTCTTTTCAATAGGGTTACACTGAATTACAGAATTATTTATGTTGGAAAGAACCTGAAAAGGTTATCAAGTCCTGCTCACTTGAAGACTAAATTCAGAATTACAGTAGGTTGCTTAGGTTCTTGACAAGCATGGTTTGGATTTTTTAGTTATTTTTTTTAAAGTATTAAAATATTCAATATTTGAATTTCAATCCTTGAGCTATCTGGAATTGCTAAAAATTTTGTGTATCTTCTTTCTGTTTCTTGATCAAACAAACCTGCTAGAAACAGCGTTTCAGTCTGAACACAAAAAAACCCTTCAAATTTCCTACCAAATTCTGTTCAAATTTTACCATACTAGAATAGTATTAGGTATTACCGACAAATCATATTTCAATATTTTTCAGCAGTGCTTGCTTCGTTCATGAGAAGAAAACATGGCCACCTAAATTTAATTAAGACTTTTTGAAGTGAGAATTTGTTAAAATATGAAAAAAAAAATCAAAATCCTACAGAAATCTGTTAAGGTAAATGTTATTGCCAGTACCCTACTACATACGAATACTTAAATGTTACAATAGATGAAAAGAGAGTAACACAGTAGTTTATAAGGACACTTAGAGAAACGATAAAAAAATATAGAGGAAGTTATAAACTGTAATAGGGTGCACATCTAATAAGTATAGCTGAAAGAAATAAAAACCCAACAAACAACAATATCTTGTTTCAAGCTGCTTCTGTTAAGAAAATAACAGCAGTACAGACTCAGGGAATTTTTTTTTTAAATACTTGATGTTCTACTTGAAATATTGTTGTGATGTTGTAAACATTTGTTTTTATTTTTTACTGAGGAATGAAAAAGGAAAGGTTATACTTAGTACTCAAGTGAATGACCTATTGACAGGTTAACTGTTTCAGTTTTACATAAGCCAACTGAAATGGCAATATATTTGTGCTTAGACAAATTGCTTGCTTCAATTTTATGAAGAGGTAATTTTCTGGATGATAGTCTGCTGTCTTTCAAGATATCACAGCATATATCTTTAAACTATTCTCAAGCATCTTCTGAAATTCTAAATTTGAACCTGAAATGAAGATTGTGCCCATCATCCGCAAAGAACACAGTACGCATATACAGAAAACAAATAAAAGGTTTAAATGAATTTTAGAGCTGGTAAGCTAGAGAGACATGAAACCACCTGGAATAGCACAGGTGTAACACATACCCTTTTTACACTCTGAATATATTTTATATGGACACACTTTGGCAGCTACAATTTATATTAACCATAGAAAGATGCTTGTAGCAATACCTATGAAATACTAAGTGTTCTGAAGAAAGAAAACGACTAAAACTACCCCAAAACAACCCACTGACAAAAAGCCCAAACAAACCATCATAGTTTTTCCATGTTTTTTCTCTCTGCTTGAAATAAAAGAGAAATATCTCTTTTAACAAAGCCATATGAAGCTCCTTCAATAATGTGTACAATATAATACTTCTTGCTATTTTAAGAACAAGACCAAAATCACTGGTGACTGTACTTCACACAATTTATTCTCCAATATTACGGTTACCTCAACACTATACAATGAATCTGTGGTCTCTCGCAGTCTTGCTCTAGTTAATTCTAGTTCTTTCTGGAGTATTTCCTGAGTTTCTTGAAGACTGGAGATATGTCCTTCTGCAGTACCAAGGCCTTGTTCACTTTTTCTTACTAGGTCTTGCAGACGACACACCTACAATGGAAAAAAAAAAAGTTTAATTTCCCTAATTGTTACTAAAGGCAGCCCAGCCATCCTGGTTGCATTCCTTTTGGTGTTTTCTAATTCCAACATAGGCAAATTTTTATTTGCACAGTCAATTGTCCTTTAATATCACTTAATGTTTCTGTATGAAAAAACAAATTCCTGTAATATTACAGAATCAAACAAAGATTCAATTACAGGATTTTTACAAGTAGAAGAAACCAACCAACCTACGTTTGAACCATTTCATAAGCAAAGAGGTTACATAAAAGTTCTGAAATTACATGTAATTTTACTGTAAGAAAGCATGTGTTATGCAAATTAGAATAAGAACAACTATTGTTAAATGTACAAATGCTAATCAAATAGATAAATTAACTTGTGTTAGGGTATATGTTCCTCTGTTTTAGGATTGCTACCTGTCCACAAATTAGCCCATTTAAAGCATAATTCAGTATCTGTAGAGTATAATGGCAAACGTTCCTTAACTGCTACGTAAAAATACACTTCTAGTTCCTGTTTGTGCTTTAGCTTCTTATCTCTAAAATTATGATACTATACTTCTCTGTTACAAGGAATATTATTTGTTCACTAGCTACAGAAAAGGAAAAAAAAATATGCAGTCTGGAGAAACAGAATAACAGTAGGTGAGGGACACCAAAGAACAGCAGACAATGGGAACTGAGGTTTTGGCAGTGGTCTGTGCCACTGCCTTTGTATGTTAAGTTCATTCACAATGGGACAAGTGTCTCGAAGACTAATCCTTGGTTTGCAGGTATGAACAAGTCACAGTTATAACTACTCTTTCTGTTTGTTTGCGCAATTATAAGCAAATACCATTTATAACACAAACAGGCACAGACACATGTGCACATCCCTCCCAGAACTCTCTCCCTCTGGGTGCAACCCATGAAGTGTTTAAAAAGAGGGACTCCTCCCCTCCCCTCAGCAAGCATTTCTTGGGTGTGACAGATCTCAGAGAAAAACTAATGCAATCTTGAACGCTCGTCTATGCGCTCCTTTGCGTTATACACAAACAACTAGTAATTCCCTACAAAGCCCTACTACCTGAAGGAGAATCCCTACATGAAAAATTGCTCCTAAACCTGCATTGATATCCTCAGAGCACCCCACCTGCATGAAACACGAAGAGCAGTCCTGTCGATCTAAAGGATATAGGAACACTACGCAGGAAATAGTTCTATTCTACTGATGACAAAGCAATGCTGGACGATCTTTAAAATGATCCTTGGTTATGATCAGAAGTCCTTAGCATGAGACGGCCAGTCCTTAGACTACTCTGTTAAGTGCCACAAAGTCTCACTAAAAGCTCTTGACTGGTCTACAAGGAAAGGAAGCAAATCTAGAGAGTAGACAGCCACCCTCATCCTGAGGTACGTGTGAGAAAGTTAGTATCTTGACTGAACCCGAACTCTCAGAAATAATCTCTGGCAATTATTTTATGATTACACTGTTCTTAAATAGCCTGGTATTAGGATCAAGCCTAATGAGGCTTGAAACTTCTTCATCCTTTAGCTAAGATAACTGCTGTGAACGAGTCTGTCAAAAAGAAAAGAGGACGGCACAGGTTAAAACCCAGATTTCTCAGCATGGAAGCTGTCTATAACAAACAGAAAAGAAAGCAGCAGTAGGAATGCAAGAGCTAAGCTAAAGATGTGCCAGACAGAGAAGTTTCTTCCAGGCCTGCAAAAACACTGAGAAATGATTGTCAGTGGTCAGCAGAGATCCAAAAGTAAGCAGTGGTTGCAAGTGATGCACTTGTCTCATGTGCTTAAGACAAACATAGTAACAAAATAAAATAAAACTCTTCTGTCCTACACAGAGTGGATTTACAGACCACCCCAATTTTATTGTCTGTACCCTTCCTATCATTCCCTCAATATGCAAAACACACTTTATTTTTTATCCTGTCACAAGAACACATATAAACTGAATTACTAAATAGCAGCTGGCCCTAATTCTTTATTTTAGTTTATGTTAGTTAACTATTCCTTAGCTATGCCTTCCTTTTCTTAATTCAGTGTGCTAATGAATTTTCTAAGTCTGAACTTGATATCAGTTAGATAACAAAAATTCATTCTTAAAACATTTGAAGCCATTTTCTTCAAAGGAGCAACAAGCTTATTGCTCATGAACTCAAGAGAAATTGATAAAGAGTAACTAAATGGAAACCTACAGTAATGAATGACAATAAAATGACAACAGTGCTCTCCTCAGATCTAATCCAGAAACAAGGAAAATTAACATACAACAAAGAAGTTAAAGCTAAAAAGAAATAACAAAACTTTCTGTAATTCTGATAGGAAAAATAAACCCTTGTATCATTTTGTTAACATATATAAACAAATACATCACTTTTTCATTAATCTGAATGTCAGTCAGCATACTGTTAAGAGAGCAAGAGCAGTTCCAGCTTGAATTTACACCTCCTCAAAGTACCAGCAAACGTACTCACAACTATCAGAAAGAAGCACAGTGTCCTGTTTAACAGGTACTCACAATTGACTTATCAGCAGTGCTGCTCATCATTGATGATCACAGGTTCAACTACTCTGGTAGTATGTATTATCTGGGGTGTATATATATGTATACACACACATTTGGTAGATACTACTCTGAAAAAATATATTAATATACTGAATATATTAGTATATTTTCATAATATATGATTTAATATATAATTTAATATATTAGCACGTTAATATAGCAGTGTACTGATATATAAATCAGTGTTATATAAAATATTTTATATCAATATAGATATAAACACAGAATATTTTAAAGTATAAGAATATATACTTTACTACAATAATAGACTATACTTTCAGAAGGGGAATCTTTCCCAATCATTAAACCCAAACAATTTTGTTCTAAAGGAAGTTTAACATTTGTGCAAACTGCAAGCCACCAGAATTAGACAAACACCTGCCATGTTGTATGGTGGAGAAAACAGTAATGAAAAGTACCGCTGCAAAAAGGTACTTAAATTCATGCTTAAGTCTCTCTCAAAGCACATGCTGAAATCGTATGAATGACCTGTTGAACAATGAAGCTGATGAATTACTTTCTTGAAAGAAGGCAAAAGTTCCAGACAAGAATGGATTCAAGTTTTTGATATTAGTAAGAATATATTTTGTGTAAATAAATATATTAGAAAAAGGTGGTGATTTCAAATTAAAAAAAATCTTTGCAAAATGTATTGAGATGTGATATATTTAACATTGATTGCATATATCAAAACATTGCAGATAATTCGGATCTTGCTATATATAAGTATTTCATGCCGTTGTTCGATGAAAATATATGAAGATCATCTGCAAGTCCAGAAGCTGACCAAAATTTACAATATGTTAATTGTAACCAAACATGGGGTTAATTACAGTTAATTTTCCCTTTGTCTCCTGATACATTTTGGGTAGCGGTCTGCGTACCTAATAAGAAGACAAGCAGAGTTAAAACAAGAAAGGCTGTTTATGTCAACTGTTTCGCCTCTCAGTCTCTTTTGCTTTGTTAATGTTGTAAAGAACAATAAAATCTGTGCTCAGAAGCAATCAAGTAACCTACCATGTTTGAAGGATACACTACTTAAATAGAAAAAAGGCACTAAACAGACTGAACAGTGTAGTCCTAGCTTTGTGCTGGACTGTAAGCCCAAGATCATTACTGAAAAAATGTGCTCTAGTGCACAGGACCATTAGCTGATACAATTAAGTTAACCCTTGCCTCCTGATTGGCAGATGTGAGTTTTGTTGTCAGCTCTTCCTTCAGGTTTTCCAGCTGCTGTCGGAGCTGATTCTTATCATCCTCCAAATGTAGCTTCTCCTTCTCAAACTGCTGCTCCAACTCCTTCAGAAATAACAAGGATGAAAAAAATAATAAATACTTGTCATACAGTCATTGAAAAGTACTAGTGTACCACATAAAACTTATTTCAACCTAGCATAAATATTCCTGATCTCAATCAAGAATTGTACTTTCCTTCAGGTGTTGAAACATGGACATTTATTTCCTTTTACAACTGATGTCTTCATGCTCCCATTTATTTACTACTAACCTAACATCCTTGATTAACTTCTAATCTAACACCCTTGATTAATCACAGAAGAGAGATGAAGAGGACTTTCCCCTCAATTACTAGTTTCACTTTCCATTTAATTATCAAAATCATTAACCTATAACTATTTTCACAGTTTTTCAGTCTGAGTTGAAAGAATGCAGAAGTTTTCACTTTCTATAAAACTACTCTGATAATATGCTTATCCTTCAGCCTTTACACATCTATCTCCTACACATAATCCCCACAGAAAACAGTAAAGTTTAAAATCCAGACTGAGCTTTGGGAAGTTTTTCAGGCTGTTATAATAAACAAAAAAAAAAGACCCACACCATACCTATAAAATTTACGTAGAACCAAAGGAAATCAACAATAAGTCTTCAAGTTCAACTACATGGAAAGAATCAAGTAACACCTCTGTTCTCACTCCATCTCTGAAGTAATAGCCAAATTCTAAAAACAGCTCTGTTGAGTGAATTATATTTCTCTTACATGAGCCTATGTTGTATATATATTTGTTAAAAACTTTTTAAAGGAAAACGATAAATTTATGCTACAGCTTTATTAATATTCAGAATAGATTTTTGAAAGATCCATTTCTTTCTGTCACAAAATACTTAGCATGGAATATTATAAAATTAAGAGCTTTATTATATATTTCAGTGGAATATACTAGATTATAGTATTGTAGTTTATTATACCCTAAAGACTTCTTGAGGGACAAAAAGGTTACCAAGTAAAGTGTTCCAGAGCCAGGTAATACAAGACTGAAATGTTTTCTATGCAGCTGCAGAGCCTCCTTTATTAACTCCCTCCTAGGGGTTCAGCTGCAATGCAAGGCTTAGCATCGATTCAGTGACTCTGTATAGCCCCGGGCTCAGATTTCTGAGAAATCAATATCATCTCAGAAACAGCTGTGAAAATCCATAGACCAGAGCCATGCATGAAACACAAAGTACAACTGCAGGCGTTCATAAGACCACAGAGACAAGGAGTTAAGTGCTTGAGAATTCAAGAGGAAAAAGACTGTCAGGAAAAGGTATAAAACTAAGAAAAACCAGGGAGCTGTAAGACAGCAACTTAGTGGCATCCAGCACATTCCCAGAAGCAACAGAGGCCAATCCTTCCTCATCGAAAACCAGAGACGACTATGGTGTTTTGCGGAGGGTGGTAGGCACATTAAGCTCAGTAGCTTGTTAGTTCCAGCACTCCACTAGGGCATGTGATAGACAATAAATATTCTGTGTATAAACTATTTGCACAATCTCTTTGTTCACGGTAGAAGTTGGACAGAGTGACAAAACAAGGGGTCACACCTTCCATAATACATTGCCCTACAACATAACTCAGCAAGCGTATGTTTTCTTCACAGGGCGCAGATCAATCACCACGTGGGACAAATGCTGCCTGCCAAAGGAGATTTGCTCAGTTTCTCTTGTTCACGCTATGAAATCTGGTGCCTGCAAAATTTCACTACTGCTATTCAGACCCTATTCTGATAACTGAGTAATTAGTTCTTTCATGATACTTATCAGGACAGCTGTGCAGTACTGCAAAATTATTAGCAGCTCTATTTTCATAATCTTCCTAGGAACGGATGCCATTTTTACAGCGCGTTCTATAGATGGAAGAATTGAAGCAGAGATGTATTTAAGCCATTTCTTGAGCCCTAATCTCATTCTTCAGAATTCTCTTCCGTTCCATTTTTTTCCAAAGGTTCCCGGATCCCAGATGCCTTTCACAGTCTTCCAGTCCCAACAAATGCTTCTGTCCTCTATCCCAAGGCTCCTTGTACCAGGCTTCTTCCTCATACTAAATTCAACCCTTCTCCACGTCTGAGATGATTTCTTCCTTGAATTACTCAAACGCCACATGTGCTTAGTGAGACAGGTTTAACAGAGGAGACAGTACTCTGAGTAAGATTTAGAGAGAACTTGACCCTGACATATTTTCTTAGGAACTTTCTGTTGCTGGAATCAAGTTTAACATTTCTCACATTTGCAGAGCTGTGCTCTATTTTAACTAATATAATGTTTTAAGAACAAACATTTTATGATATCCTTTGTTTTATTCTCAACATTATTTCTATAATAAGAGAAAGTAAACTTGAAAGATCAGATGCATATATGTCTTGAGAACTACTTCCATTTCTAGAAGACATGAAAAAACGTTTGGGTTTTTTTCGAAACAAAAATAAGAAGCAACACACTAGTGTTGCTGAAAAAAAAAAATCAGTCAAAGATGAACATCACTATCTAAAATTGCGTTTCTTTGCATAACAAAGCCTTAAACAAGTAATATTTATCCCATTTTACTGTGTAAGGCAAAATCTGTGTGTAATGTACATACCATTAGATTAGGAAATAATAATTGAAAATTAGTCCTTTCATTTATCCCAACAAAGTAAAGGCCAATTTGTGAAACAAAAGCACCTTTCCGTTTCAGGATTCCAGTCAAAGACAAATGAATATTCGATATACAGCTAGCCTAATTTTATGTAAGTTAGGACAAGCTGTTGTCATCTTCTGAGTATACATATAGTCAAGCCCTAACATCTTTTTGCACTTAAGGACTGCTTATGAAAATTTTAAATAAATATTCGAATAACATAATCTTTCAACTCCTTCAGAAGAACCGATCTGGAGTGATACATGAGTATGAGTCACAAAACCTGGAAAAACACACTCACTATACTTGAAGAGAATGTTAAGTTTAGAATTTCTTTTCTGCATGCAGACAAATGGCAGTAAAAAGGCATTTTTTTCCTGTTGTTTTGGCAAGATGTATGTTGTTTTAATAAAGTCTGAGAAGTTTCTTCAGCGAGATGCAGCAGATCTGCAGGTAACTCCAAATAAAACTTTCCATACCAGAAAACCACGCAGTGTAAGGTTCAGACTCTAATATTTGATTTTTTTGTAATATGTGTGATTATTAAGAAAACATAAAAACTTACCATCTGCAGTTTTTTCTTATCCTTATTAGCACTGCTATGTGCAGCCTCAATCGCAGTGTGGTGTTTCCATGCCAATTCTTCTAAGGTCTTGGAATGAGCTTCCTTTAACTGTGCAGCCTCTCCTTCTAATCTTGCTTGCAATTTTACCAGCTCCTTCTCATAATATTCACGTTGTGTCTCCCTTGCTTCATTTACTTTCTGTAAGAGACAGAGAAAAATACAGTTTTTTTCCATTAAAGATACTTCTATTAAATGATAAAATCTAAATAGTAGGAGAGAAAAAATACAAGAACTTCACTGGTGACATAAACCTACAAAAATTAATTTCCATACAAATCAACCTGAGCAAAAACTAAGCATTGACTAAATAATTCAATAAGGAAAAAGATAGGTTCAATAAATCCATGCAAAGCAGTATAGCCGTATTAAAATCTTTTTTTTTCTCTATTTAATCTGGGGAAACAGCAATTGGGTAACAAGCCTACGGAAAATTTCAGTTTGGTGTTTTCAAACATGTTCAGAACATTTTGAGAGAATGGCTTTTTTAATTGCTCTTTAACTACTTCACCTTTCTCCTTACTGAGACACTTTAGATGCTAGGCATCTACACATCAAGTCACAGAACATCAGGTTGGAAGAGACCTCAAGGATCATCTGGTCCAATCCTTCTCTGCAACAGCACCGTCTAGACAAGATAGCCCAGCACCTTACCCAGCTGAATCTTAAAACTGTCCGATGCTGGGGCCTCCAGCACTTCCCTGGGGAGACTGTTCCAATAGCTGATTGTTCTCACTGAAAAATTTTCCTCTTGTGTCCAACTGAAATCTCCCCAGGAGTAACTTTTACCCACTACCCCTGTCCTTCCCATGTGACTCCTTGTAAAAATGGAGTCTTCATCTTCTTTGCACCCATTCTTCAAATACCGGAACATAAATTAAATACTGGATCATAAATGAAATTAAATTGTTAAAAGACGTCCAAAGCAGCTCAAACATCATCTAATCTGACTTCTCTCTACTCTTACTTTACACTCGACATTAGTCATTGTATGTTGTTACATGACTACCAGTGGTCATAGTCCAGTCATATCAAATAAAAATGAAAATATATTCAAGTTTGGTGTTTTTTTTTCCTGAGAGTTTTAAGTCTTTTGGTTATATTAAACTAAAGCAAATAAGCTGTTTAACCTTCTCCAAGGCCAGAATTTGCTGCCTTTGTCGCTCATCCAGACTTTGTGTTTTGCTTTGTAGTAAGTTTCTTTCCTCTTCCAGTTGGGATAGTTTTTCTTTTAATCTAGACTTTTCTGATTCCAAATCTCTGATCGTAACTTCTTGAGTCATTTGAGTAGCTTGTAGCATTCCAATGTGACCTAAAATCAAAACAGCTCTTTAAAACCTCACAGCATTGGTTTCACGTAATTGAAGTACACATTCATGCTTTGGTGATTTCTAGAAATACAGCTCTAGCAGAAGCTTTCATATGGATGTCCATTACCTTCACTGCAATGCTTACCTTCCCCTCCACTTATCCCTTTTTTATTTTGTAGTAAAATATCCAAAATAGTAGAGCACTTGGTGCTGGAGCTCCATTAGTTTCAATTTTCATGATACAAAGTTGTATGGTGACTCCAAGAGAAAGTAGAGGTAGGCAACAGTACGAACACAGACAGTCTCTCTAGAAGAACTCACCCCACCTAAACCCACAAATTTTTACTGCACAATAAGCTATGCACCAGAAAGTAGAGCACTGAAGTCTAATAGTAAAGATGATACACTTTTACCAAGCTCATAATTTGCCCAACATTCTAGGTATAGCAGCTGAAGATGCACAAAACTTCTGAAATAACACTTTGTTTCTTTTGCTATAGAAATACGAATAAAAGATTTAACTGAACTCATTCTCTCTATAGTAAAGTATGATCTGAATCCTTGCAAGTTAGAGTCTTGCTTTTAATTTCTTTATACATACTAAAGAAAAAACAATATCTGCAAAACTAGACAGTATAATCTGTCCTTCGCATCACCAGTAGAAGAAGACTGACGACTTCATAAATTTTTGTCCCTGTTCTTCTACATTTATACCTGTATTACTGAAAAAATCACTACTAGGCAACTGGCTAAAGCAGTGAAACTCCTGCTGCTTTGGAAAAGGCTTAGGAGGGGGTAGAAGACTATTCCACAAAAGATGCTCCTAAATTTGTTCAGTCAAAAGACAAGAGAGGGGACACTCTCCCATTATTTTAACATCTTCATAGAAGCATCATAAAGTCAGGCCTAAGCTAATATTCCATATTGGAATGGATTCTTTGGATAGAAAGACCCTATTATCCCTTACATAAATTGCATGACCTAGACATGTGTGAAATACGTCTTTTAAAAATTAGCATATGATAATATGAAGTGGTAAATAAACAGACTTTCAAGGATTATACAGAAATCCTTAATAGTTTCACATAAAGAAAGTATCCAGATAAGAAATTGTTATTTACTCAGAAGATTTTTTTTTTGCTATTTCTGTGGCCATAACTTCTAGGAGAGATATTTTTCCCTCCACTTTATTACAGCCTTCAGTAGGGATAGACTAGTTGAGTTTTAATAAGAGAGCACATTTAATTACTAAGAAACAGCTAATAAAGTGTACTGTAAGTCACTATTTCTCAAAAGACAAAACCACTGATGTTCCAGATTCATTTCCATTTGAGCTTAAGGCAAAACATGAGCCAAAAAGGAAGACATCTTAACCTTTGTTGCCTGTGGACACTGATGTGAAGGGAAGGATAGTGGGATACATAAAGGAATTTGGCCTGAAAAATGCCTCAAAATCAGTAGTATTTTTATAAATAATGCATATCTCTAATTTTACTAAGCCCTGAAGAATTGTACGAGTCATTTTGGCTTTTTTGGTTGGTGAAACCAAAACCTGAAGAGAAAAAAAAAAGTAAGAAAATGAGTATGTTAAACTTTTGAAATAAGGTAGTTTTTTTAATTTTACACAAGTTCAGCCATTTAAGAAATGTATTTGCAAATCTAGATTTTATAATATAACAAGAAGAATAATTGTACAAGAATTTCAGGTTTGTCAGGAAGTATGATGCACGTGCATATTTTATTGTGAGCACACACACGTGCTGATTCAGAGCTTTTGTCCTAGCAATATTGACACACAACAGAGGTTTCCCATTCCTCAGGCTCTATGCAGAAGGTATGAAAACACAACAGTTTCAAGTTTGGAATCTCAGGATAAATGCAAGAAAAATATATTAGTTTTCCATAATAGATATAATACCGTGTTCTCAAACTGCAATAAAATGAGTGAGTATTTTGTGTGGTAATTAAGTATGAGAATCTAGTTTCTTCGGGGCAGGATTTTGACTTCAAGGGCGAGCTGAAATTCAAAGGAGATGGCAACGTGCCAGTAACCATTTCGAAACAGGCTGGTACAAAATCACGTCCCATAGCAATGGCGTGGTGGCATGACTGTAAATAGGGCGCCTGGTTCTTGTTGCACAGTGAGGTGCTGCCAAGCAAAGAGGTACTACTGACACTGCCACTGAGCTCACTAACAGCAGTAACACTGCACTTTCTGGTAAAAATAAAAACCTCGGTGCCAGAGGAGATCAATGCATAGTTCATCTGTCTTCATGCCATCAGTAGTACCAAAAAACAGCCTGGATATTTAAGTTTGTTTCTACTAAATCTAGGGGTGGCTGCTGACCCCTTCCCATGCCTCTGCCTAGGGAAAATACAGCAATGGTCAACGAGTGTACAGAAAGGGGTTTTTTTTCCCCCAACAATTCAAGATTTTTTCTGAGTGCCTCAAACATAACTTTTTGAGGGGTCAGATTCCCATGTGAGATCCATAATTTGAGATGCTCCTGGCAGGAAGCCCACTCATTTTAGCTATTTATATGCAGCAGGACCTTGCAGTCTTGGGTCCATGCTACCCTCTATAATGTCCAAACATAGATCCAAGAGCACTCCTAGCCTTTACCTTAGGCCAGCTTCTCTATCACTTGTCACAGAATCACAGAATGTTAGGGGTTGGAAGAGACCTCAAAAGATCATCTAGTCCAGTCCCCCTGCCAGAGCAGGATCACCTACAGTAGATCACACAAGAACACATCCAGGTGGGTTTTGAATGTCTCCAGAGAAGGAGACCCTCCCCAGGCAGGCTGTTTCAGTGCTCTGTCACCCTCACAGGGAAAAAGCTTTTCCTAATATTTTTATGGAACCTCCTATGTTCCAGCTTGTACCCATTGCCCCTTGTCCTATCGTTGGGCATTGCTGAAAAGAGCCTGGTACCGTCCTCCTGACACTTCCCCTTGGCATATTTATAAACATTTATGAGATTACCCCTCAGCCTCCTTTTCTGCAAGCTAAAGGGACCCAGCTCCTTAAGCCTTTTTACATTATAGAGATGTTCCACTCCCTTCATCAACTCTGTGGCTCTGCGCTGGACTCTCAAGCAGTTCCCTGTCTCTCTTCAGCTGAGGGGTCCAGAACTGGGCACAATATTCCAGATGTAGCCTCACTAGGGAAAAGTAGAGGATCTCTCTCAACCTACTAGCTACTCCCCTTCTAATACACCCCAGGATGCCATTGGCCTTCTTGTCCACGAGGGCACATTGCCGGCTCATGGTCATCCTGCTGTTCACTAGAACCCTCAGGTCCCTTTCTCCTACATTTCTCTCCAGCAGGTCAGTCCCCAACCTATACTGGCACATGGGGTTATTCTTTCCCAAGTGCAAAACTCTACACTTGCCCTTGTTGAACTTCATAAGATTTCTCCTCGCCCAGCCCTCCAGCCTGTCTAAGTCTCTTTGAATGGCAGCACAGCCTTCTGGTGTGTCAACCACTCCTCCCAGTTTTGTGTCATCAGCGAACTTGCTGACAGCGCTCTCTAATCCCACATCCAGGTCATTGAGGAATATATTGAAATGCACTGACCCCATCACTGACCCCTGAGGGAC